CCCATCGGCTCCACAGCTGGAGTCTTTGTAGCTGCGGCTCTCACTGCTTTTGCCGCTTCCCTCGCTACAGCAACTTTCCCTGCCCGAGGCAGATAAACCCCGCAGGTGCACTCTCCCTACCTCGTGCCTCCCTGTGGGCTCCATGGTCTTCTGCTGTCCACCTCCTGTGCCCCCGGGGCCGCACTTTATTCCCGCCAGGTGGCGTCTCTCGCTGACGTCACCCGGTCTCAGCTGGATACGAGTGCGGCTAACGAAATGCGCAGGTGGTTTCCTGGCGTGCGCTTCCCTGCTGTCCCCGGCTCCTGCAAGGGGTAAGTATGGGCTCTCTTCCTCTTTGGTTTTGGGCCGGGGTTTCCTCATAGCCCCGGCATCCCTGGGACATAACCCCCCCTTAAGATGCCTTGGGGCGCTTCTTCGTTCCCATTTCGGGTCGTAGCTGTGGGGCCGGTCAGTCCCTTTACTTGATCTCCTTGGTTCCCGGTCTGGTCTTCGCCTCTGCACCTGGATAAGAAGTCCACTACTGTATTAGTTCTTCTGGGTCGGTGTATTACTAGTATTACTAGTATTACTAATACTACTGTATTAGTTCTTCTGGGTCGGTGTATTATGGTTGGAGTGCCAAGGCCCACTTCGTAGCTGTGGGGCCGGTCAGTCCCTTTACTTGATCTCCTTGGTTCCCGGTCTGGTCTTCGCCTCTGCACCTGGATAAGAAGTCCACTACTGTATTAGTTCTTCTGGGTCGGTGTATTACTAGTATTACTAGTATTACTAATACTACTGTATTAGTTCTTCTGGGTCGGTGTATTATGGTTGGAGTGCCAAGGCCCACTGGGTAATCCGGGCATTATCGGTCTTGGCTGTGCTCAGCCACCTTAGCGGGGCATGGTCAGTTACTAGTTTAAATTCTCTGCCCGTCAGGTAGTATCTAAAGTGGTCTACCACCCACCGAATTGCTAGGCACTCGTGTTCTATAGTCGCGTACCTCTTCTCCGCTGGTAGCAGTTTGCTTCCAGGAGATGGTGTGGAATGGGTCGCCACCTTTCCCTCACTATTGCCCCGGGCGGAGTTTTTATAGAGTGGAACGAGCTCCGAACCCAGCCGGGTTCCTCGTGGAATACCTCCTGGAACTCATTTATCAAGCTTCGGCTCTCTCGCCGCTGAACAGAGGATAATTCCTCTCCAATCCTGACTGGGGTTCCCTCCAGAGAGGGTTCAGTCCCTCTTCCTAATCCCTGGGGTCCTAGGTCCTCATTATCGGTCTCAGAAAAGGCCACCCATCCTTCAGGCTCCCGCCACTTCCGCAGGAGATTCACATGGTAGATTTGCTTTTCCCGAAGGTGTCTGGGCCTGTGTACCTCATTATCCACTGGTCCCACCCATTGGAGAATTTCAAATGGCCCCTGCCATTGAGTTAGGAGCTTGCTTGTGGACGTGGGGAGCAGCACCAGTACTCTCTGTCCCGGCTCGAATTCTCGCTCTTTGGCCCGGCTGTCATATTTTTCTTTCTG